TTGCCAGTATCTATGAATAAAAGACTAACCAGAATTTTGTCTAAAAGCTTGTTGGTTTCTTTCCCTAAACTCAGAGAGTTAAGGAGTCTCTCTTAACGAGCCCTTAACAGAGATAAAAGAGTCCTCTCTTAACAACCCCCTTATCATTAAGAGGCCCCAGGATTCTCTCATAATGAGCCTTGTACCCTCTTCCCCAATAAACCTTTAACTAGATCATAAACCTAGGGACCTAACATGCAGTCATATTTCTATTTCAAATATCTGTTTTAGTTTAGATCCCTTGTTGATGGGGTATACTTGCTAATGTGTACCTTTGTTGTGGCGTTTTTCTATTAATTAACACTCTAGTCAACTCCAGCTGCTGGCGCTGGACTTACAGGGAGTAAAATGGCTAGAAGAATCGGAAGTATTGATGAATTTGAGTTCAAAGCTATTGGAGAAAACCATAACCAAGGCGTAAGTTTTTGTGTCTTCTTTTTCTTTTAAATCTGAGTGATAATTCGTTGCCCTTTACTTTGAATGAAGTTATCTACCCATTAATATCTTCAATTTTATATTTATTTACTGGCTTGTGTGTGCGTGCTTACATAGAGATACTTGTACATGTACAACTAATGATCTCAAATTTCATTTTTTATTGGACTTATATTTCAGCGGCTAGCAGTTGAGATCTTAGTCTCTGGATTTGTCTTTGAGGAGGAAGATTATGTAAGGCCTTGGGAAGGGCGGGATGACAACTTGGAAAGGTATTTGTACTTCTCTTCTCAGGAAAAAATAAAGGAAACATATCTGTACTTTCTGTGGGTTGCAATTGGTCTTTAATTTCGTTGTTCCATCTGAATTCCTCGTGATATTGATTTGGCATCACAAGAACTTGATTTGTGCTAATGATTTTTTCACTTTAATTTGCATCTCTTTGTTTTTATAGGTTAATCGCTATCATATGGAAACTCACTTGTCCATTCTCTAGGTTATCATTTATTATGGTGACAAATCTGCTAACAATATGATAGTCACATGTATTCCCTTTTGCAGGTCGAGAAGAGAATGTTTATTGTTGTATTATCTACTTCTGTGCATGCTGATGCTAGTTTGGCCTCTTCTTTTTGGATGTAGCATGGTTACTTGCAATAAAAATTTGCTTGGTTTACATTTTTGTTTCATTTTATTCTTCATTTTCTTTGCAATCGTAGGTACTTCTTTTGAAACTAAAGTAATGCTCAGGGTATTTAAGGGTAAAATATGATTTCATCACCAACCTAAATAAATTTTTAGGTATGCGCTGCAATGGGAGTCTAAGAATATAATTGCAGTGAGCACTGCAATTCAGGATTGGCTTACTTCAAGTAATCATTTTGGACCTCACAGCCATTGTTATTTGTAGACCTTGCAGTGTAATGATGACAATAGTAATATTGCTACTGAATTCTGCAGGACTTGCTATGGAGTTGATGAAGCAAGGAGCCATGCATACGGTATTAAGCACACTGCTTGCAGCATTTGCTTGGCCTGCTACGTTACTTGTAGCTGCTGATTTCATAGATAGCAGATGGGCAATTGCTGTGGACAGGTCTACAATTTTTTGTTATTATTTTCTGTTAACTGATTAGATAGGAACAAAGAAATGGACAACCTTTAGTTCTTACTCCGTGAATGTATTCAACATGTAGTATTGAGATGTGCATCAATAGATCCCACAATGAAGCACCATATGTCAAGCTTTACCATAGGCAAGGAAACAGCTATAGTAATAGATTTTGCTATTCGGATGGACTGGGCAAGTATTACCTGATAAATACGGTGTCAATCCAGAGAACTGATTTTCTGTTAACTAATTAGATAGTATGTCTTGATGAAATGAAGGGAAAAGGAAGGGAAGGAAATAGAAAAGAAATGGAGGATTGAGAACCAACCCTAACTTTCCTTTCATTTTACATCACTTTATATTCCTTTACATTTCTTCATTGTCCTTTCATAAATACACACGCACACACACACACATATTCGTAGCAAATACTAAACACGCCTTAAGGAAGAATTGATTTAGTGAAAACATAGAAGAAATGTACAAATTAGAAGATGTTGTAGTGTAGGACTCTAAAATAATAGTGAAATATTTTTGTTACAGAAGGTAGCTTATTTTGTGATATAACAATTGGGTGTGCATAGTAACTCTTTATACTGGATCTATCAGGATTTGGTTCCAGTCTCTACCTTCTTAAGAAATTTAAAAGCTTATATGCTAACAACTAAACAGTTGTAACCTCAATTAGTTCTAAACTAGATTCTCTCTCTGTACCTGTAGATCAGATAAAGCAGGAAAACTACTAGCTGAAGTGTTACTGAAAGGCTTGCAAGGGAACAGGTATCTGAGTTTTCTCCGTTAAAAGGATAAAAATATAAAGAAAGAAACAAAAAGAAAAAAACAGAGACTTGATTGCCTTCATGAAACTGAATATTCAGGCCTGTTACACTCGTGGGTTACTCACTTGGTGCACGTGTGGTTTTCAAGTGTCTCCAGACTCTGGCTGAGACTGAACATAGTGGTAAAACATGAAGACTGAATGTTCATGAGATTTTGCATTTTGAAAACAATCCTAATGCAAATCTTCATGTTTTGGACAGCTGAACTTGTTGAAAGAGTTGTTCTTCTTGGAGCACCCATCTCAATTAATAACGAGAATTGGGAAGCTGCAAGAAAGGTGATTAGAAATTTATTGTTTCAGCATGCTCACTTGTCCTACATATATATTTTTGTTTTCTATGAAGCATTCTCTTCTGCTGCTTTGCAGATGGTGGCTGGAAGATTTGTGAATGCTTACTCAACAAATGATTGGATGCTTGGAGTTGCTTTCCGTGCAAGGTATGCTTAATGAGCAGTGTACTGAGGGATTGCAGGCATTCCAAGTCATCACTGCCCACATATGATATTGCTACGCTGCTTTATCTGTCAATCAATTTATGATTTGATCTTTGTGGTTGACCCTTGCCAATTTTTGCACCATTCCCCTTTCATTGAGGGCTTTTGGGGGTTCGGCCTGTATTGGTTTGTGCTTCAACAAATGTTTCAATTGGCATGAGTTGCAGCTATCCAATTAATGCCTTAAACTTTAAGATAACGATCGCATCTTCAGGAATCAGGATACAGTTTTAAAATACAATTATTTTTGGCTATACACTGCTAGCCTCTACTTTTTTTTGTCTTAAGTGGAGATACTTTCTATATGGTAATGTCAATTTAGACAAGAATCCCATCTGCATGGCAACCTTGTCACAAGATCCATGATCTATATCAAGGGAAAATGCAAGGATGCCTCAGCAGTTTCAATTTATTTTCATTTTTCAGTTAGGTAGCATTTGGTAGTGTGACTTATGGTAAGGAGAAAAAATACCATATAACAGTCGTACCGTATAATTAAAATGCTGTTCTGTCCTTCATTTGGCGTACAAGGAACAACAACAATCCCGATATTTGTAAAAAGCATCATGTTCCAAAAGTTGTACCAAGTTTCATTAATAACAGTTCCTTTTACTAATAACTCTTTTACTCCAAATCATCAACTTATCAAACAGATTACTGAACAACACAGTAATAAGTTGTACTTTATCCGTTTGTTGCAGTACGCTAAACAAAGCTAACATAGTGTTCTTCTCGGATATAGCTATGTTATTTGATTGTTATTTTCTCTTGTAGCTATGTTAAAACTCTTTCTTGTCTTGAAAGATGGCCAAATTTTCATTTTGAACAGTCTGCTCACGCACGGACTTGCTGGAATTCAACCAATTGAAAATCCTGGTATTGAGAATGTAAGTCATTCTGTTTTCCTGTCTTGCACTTTTATCTTTGCATAGGCCCTTCCAGACTTGTTAATAGTTTTGATTCTTCAGGTTGATGTAACTTCTTTCATTGAAGGCCACTCGTCCTATCTCTGGATGACGCAGCAGATCCTTGAGCGGCTGGAACTGGATGCTTATTTTCCTGTTTTCAAAAGCACTTCTTGAAAGTAGTAGTTTTTACACAACTCTTTCTTCTCTCCATTTTTCTTTTGTATCAAAATGGGAAACTCAAAGCCAAATGAGACTTCTTGTATGTCCAGCCATGATTAAGCTTTCTGGCTTGCCTTTTGTATAAAACCATATACTCATACTTTTTTGTTATATATCATTTTAGTTGCCTGTTTCCATTGAACACGTATTTATTGGTACTTTTTGCTGGATTAAATCTTTAATTTGAGGAATTTAGTTATTTTTTAGTTTTATTTTTACTCAAAAGACTAATTTTTTTGGGATGAAACCCATATTATTTACTGTAATAAAATCTCACGTTTTAGAGATTTGTTGATAATTTTGGAATTTTAAGTGATAAATTCTTTTTTTTTCTTCTAATTTTCAGAAAAAAAACATCAAACTTTATTTAGTAATTAATTATAAAGAATTGAATACTGAGTTTCTAAATTTTAAATGAAGTATATTACATACATGTCATGATGTAATATTTAATAAACAATAATTCAGAATATTTTTGTTTAGATAGCTAAAATTAGACAGTAATGTTTATTTATTTGGATTTATTAATTTTAAAAATTTATTCTTCAAGTTAAAAACTAAATATTTAATTTATCAATTCATATAAAATTTTAAAGCTCTTATTTTTACATTTATTTTAAAATTTTAAAATTTAAAATTTTGTTCTTCAAGTTAAGAACTAAATATTTATTAATTAATATAAAATTTTAAAGTGCTTATTTTTATATAAGAATTTTTTTTTCAACAATATTACCGGAGGAATTTTATGCTTTTCTTTTCTTGTCATAAAGCCGACATCCAGATAAAACGACGTCGAGTCAAGCAATAGCCTTAAAAAAAAAATCACTTAATGTTATTTGGGGCAAAAGGAAGAAGAACAAGAGATGCAGAGGGTACTGTATTCTACAATTCTGGCTTCTCAAATAATGGTAGATGCAAATTGAGGAGAGCAAGATAGGTGAGCAGAGTGAGAGAGAGAGAGAGAAGCGATTGACATGGAGAAAGATACAATGAATAGCGATTCGAGTGAAGAAGAACAGGTGACAGAGAATGATCAGCAGCAGAACGAAGTGAAAGGAACTGCGAAGGGAAAATCATGCAAAGGTTATCTCTATTACTCTTCCACTCTCAAATCCAAAGCTCGTAACCCTCGCTGCCTGGGCATTCCTCGTAGTCTCCCTCAAGGTATCTTCTATGTCGCCTTTATCTCATGTTCGGTTCCTCAGAAATTGTTGCGAGAGAAAGCAAATATTTAGGATCTTCTAACTTCTTTCTCTGTGGATTTTTGGAGTCTTTTTAGTTTGATTTTGGTTATGATGACTTTGCTGTTGCTATTGTGAATCTGACTTGTCTTTTGTTAGTCGCGAAGTTATGCTGTACATGTTGAAATTTCGTTCATTTTCGTAGGAAAGGAAGATCAGGAATCGGTTGGTGATAATTTAGGGTATTTCTTGCAGAAAAGAAAAGGAAATTTAGGGTATCAAAGTACATATATCTTTTGGAAAATTTTATTTTTTTGCTCCGAGAGATATTTCTATTTTGTTTATTTCTTTCAAAGAACGTGTGTCAAGGAGATGATATACCCTGAAATGCAGAGGAAACTATTTTCTGTTCGTTTTGGAATTAGCTAAACAGAGAACTTATGCTTTGGAGTGGACGTTTTTTCTAGTTCTTGCTCATTGCTTCTCCTACAGCTTATTTATATTGGTTTTCTTCAGCTTTTATGGCAATTTTCAATTCTTGGTGGGATTTTTAAATGCATTTATTTTTATCAGATGTTTGATTTCATCCGTTGGATTATAGTCCACACAGACACTCCTCGACTCACCATATGAGAACTGAAGTAAAAGCTTTATTCTGAAAGAAAGACTTGGGGCAGTCTCCAAATCCTATTTTCTTTTAAGTCATAATAATCATTCGCATCTAAGCAAATTGAGACCATCCATGTGTTCTTGTGAATCTTCTCAGTTGAAATAGAGTAGTGCTTCTATCTAGTTTCTCTCTCATGCTTACCAGGATTGTCATGTAGATTCCTTCCTCATCTTTCTATGCTATATTGAGCTATACTCAACTTCATAATCTGCCCAAAAACAAGATGAGTGATAACCTCTTCAGTCACGATCATGATCTCTATTATTGGTTTCATTGCCTGACTTGATAATATCAATTTCATTCAAGTACATATACCGATCATTGCGTTCATTGATATCATTCAGTGGTCTGTTTGTTATATGTAAGCAGCTTGTGTGCTTGCTGCTGTGTATTGCAAGAACGTGGAGATTTTTAACTCTCTTTATGGAGCATCTTATATGGCATCTTACTATTGATTGTCAGACATATAATTCATGATTTTGCTAATGTTTTTTTCCTGGATACTTATTCATCTGTTTTTTCATGATACATACTAATTTTGAACTTGGTGGCCAGTGCCTAACTATGTTGTCGGACAATCTCAAGTTGAAGCTTCTAAAGAGGGGCGGAATCTTCTAGATTTTTACTATGCATGTCTGGGTTATTCTGTGTATATGACTGAAAAAGACTCTTCTGCTGATAAGCAAGGGGCCAAAACAGAATTGCCAGTGTGCGTTGGCCTTGAGGTCCTCTCTCTCTCTCTCTCTCTCTCTCGTTTTTCCCTATCTGTCTGTGCATTTCAAAAAAGTGTGACTATCATAGGGCATTTTGCGTCAATTTTGAAGTGCAGTTACTGCTCATCTGTGAGCTTGCATGCATGTGTGCTACTCCTGATTGATGTTGTTCAACGGACACGGGATTTCTCTGAAGCTTTTGCATTTATGAATTGATTTTGCACTGTTGTTATCTCTGTTGTGGTGGCATCTCTGTTATAAGGGACTTTCCACTCTTTCAATCATGAAGTTGGATTTTTGTGTCAAATTCCATGTCTAGAAAGAATCTGACTGATTGATATTTGATATGCAGCTGTTAGTAGATAGAAGAGTTGCTGCTGCTGCTGAAACTTCTTCTCCTGCTCAAATTCATGATAGAGAGGGTAAGCAAATTAGTTTATTTATTGATTTATTGTTCTTGATGATGTTCATATTGATTTATTGTTCTTGATGATGTTCCTACGTGTTAATTTTCAATTTAGTGAAGTTCTCTATGCAACACCTACCGGATGTGCTTATCTCTTCAATCATGGATATTGTTATGCTTTTTAGCATTGAAATGTAGACTATAGTAAACTATGTAACGTCAACTCATGAATGTCTTGAATTTGACTCCAAAATTTTATCAAATAGCCAGCAAAAACTTGGAAGATATTACCTATCTAACAAGAAAGTAATTGAAGTATCGTTATTGTCGCATATAGATTATGGGGGAAGTAGCTCACAGGTTTACAGATCCCCATATAAATGTTTGTTTGTGGGGATAGGTATGTCAAGAATAACTTTTAGCTCTGTTGCTTCTTTCAACCTTAGCTGGTTGAGGAGACGGGAACAAATTGTGGAAATTTATTTTCAGCCTAACTGGTTGAGGCCAGAAGTAGACCTTTAGAGGCTTGCATTGAGATGTTCAAAATGAATAGGGAAAATTGGTTAACTGTTCAGGCTTATATTCTTTTATATTTCTTACAAGGCAGTTGTGGTATTTGCTCTGTCTGGTATTGCTGTTGCATAAGGCTTCTAAACATAATGCCTAACTTTCATTGGTATAAGGGAATGCATTTAAAATTCAATCATCATAAATGTTATGATTACAATCCATATTCTGCCATTTAATGTCTGTTTCACTTCCTATTTTTTCTTTCTTTTTTTGAAGAGAGTCGGGAACTTCCTCAGGCTAGAACACATAAACCCACGCATACTACCACTGGTGACGACTTCCTGAACAGGCAAGCAAAGAATTTGTGTAGTTAAACCAAAAATGAAATGAATTCAACTTATAAATTTTTCTTTATTTTGTTACAATCTCAGGTTTACAAGGAATGCAAACCTGGTAGCTTCAGGGGTGGCTCGGAATATGCGGAGAGTAGGAAACTACATAAAAGAGAGCATCGATGATATCTTATACCCTTATAGAAGACGACCCAAGTAATGACACCCCAAAATTCTGAATGAACAAGTCAAGGAAATTGCAGGAAGAATTTTTGTTCATTCTGAAAACCCCTCTTACTAAGAAATTTTCTTGGTTTAATCAATAAGGCAAGTGTGTAAGTGGTAAGAGGGATCTGGTTTCCCTGTTCCGAGTGAAAGTTTCCTCTGTTGATATTGCTGAGGCCTGATGACAATTAAAGGGTAGAGGCAACTGGATAAGTTATCTTCTGTATGACCCGAAAATGTGCCATAATTGATAATAGTTCTTGGTGAATTTTTTTTTTTACTGTCTCGTCCTAATTTACCCACCATATGTTTTTATTAATCACATGGCATAATTTGCAATTTCTTGAGACTGACAAGATAAGATCAAGATACCTTCATTGGGACTTAAAAGGTGGCCGTGGCCATGCCGCGTGTTCCATTTAAGGCAGGCTTATATGCTCGCTGGTTGCTCCTTGTAGGCTGACAAAAGCCCAAGATATCTATGAAGTTCAGACAAATTCAGCCACATTTCCAGGAAGCCCATAATGCCTATCTAATATTCATAGTATGATATAATTAATAATTAAATCATTTTTAAAATATGTATTTCATATTATTTTTGTGTCAAATAAATGTGTCATGTTATATTATAAAATCTATATTCTAAACAAAGCTTTTAATTTTGTTGTGATTATAACAATTAAAAAAAATCTAGTAGTTACTAAATATTTTTTTGCATAAGAATATATAAATTTAATTATTACAGTTCTATTAAAACACTAATAGATTAAGTTGTTAATTTTATTTAATTAAGTATTATATTCATAATGTAAATATAATCTAATTACTAATTTATCAGGAAAAATTAGTAATTTTCCACAAATAGCTAAATCTCCCAAACCTTCCAATAGGACTCCCCTAAAATTAAGAAATGGAAGATTTTAGCCGCTAAAATTATTTTTCCTGCCTTGTACGGATGAACTATAAAATATATTGAAGATGGAAATGCACGTTTTAAGCATTTGCCTTCGTCTTTTATCGTTCAACGTCAAAAACGTTTCCTCTCAACTCCCGAAAATCAGAAGCCAACTCTACTCTCTCTCGCAATCCTCGATAGCAACGGCTGTCCATTGAACTAGAATCAAACACAGTCATCGATAGCTATAAATATACAGGCCTTATCCAGGATTTGCTTCTTTTCCTGTTTCATCTTTCGGAAGATCTCGCTCCTTTATCCATTGTCGCTCGACTTCGTATTGCAGTTTCAGAGGTACTTCTTTTGTAATTTTCTTTTGCTAGCTTCGGATTGCTTCTCGGAAAGCTTGGCAAAAGAAAAAGGAAAATGAAAATCGGAAGTTATTGTTGTTGTAGTTGTTGTTAATTTCATGAAAATGTAGTTTAGAACGAAAAACGCGCTCTGTTCGATGGGAGATTGTGTGTATTTATAGCTAAGTAATTGTAGATGTCAAATTTTGTTCTCTGCATACTTCAGGGAGCATGATAGCAAAAATATCTTATTGTTTTTATGTTTTTTTAATTTTGTTTCGGAAGATTTGGACGAGATTTGTGGAGACAATTTGGAACGGGTTTCTAGGGCTTGGAGCTTTTTTGGTCAACTCGAGGCTCATCTCTTAACAGAATGGCCGCGTATGCGGCTTGCACGCGTGCGGGACGATTTCGGACCAATTCGGGAACAAACTTAACCAGATTTAGAGGATTTGGTGCTCCAAGCGTGGTGTCTCCACTGAATTCGGCCTCACCTGATTCCTCTACTGGTCTATCCGCTTCTTTGATTTCTGTTTTTCCATATAGACAGTTTGATATTAGATATATTTCTCAGCTCTCCAAATCCAGTCGGCAGCGGTTATTTCTCGTGGATACTTTAGCCCTGGTAATTACTTTGATCCTTGCTCTTTCTTTTTTAATTTCCTTTAATCAGGTTCGGCTGTAGAAGAGGTCTTGAGCTGAATGTTGTTTTTGCTTTTGCTTTGGATTTTTAAATTTGATCGGCTTAGTTTGATATGTTGAATTGGTAGGAGCTGTTAGTGTTGTTGCATTCTAAGTTTACATGACTTCTTATGCTTTCACTTGATTCCTTTCTGCTTCTGTTTCCTTCATGGCCTTGTTTAATGAAAATCTTTAAGAACTGTTATGAGATTAGGAGATTTTTTTTGGTTTGGAAGTTAATTTTGACAGACTGTTATGCCTGCGTTTGATCTAGGTTAGGAGATTGGAGGCACAAGGCGTGCCCGCTAATCAAGCCGAAGCAATAACAGTGGCAATCACAGAAGTCTTGAATGATAGTTTGGAAAATGTTTCACAATCTGTTGTTTCAAAGGGAGAGATGCAGAAGGTAAAGCCTCTACAATTTTATCGATATTTTAGAATGAATATTAGTAGGATAACTTATTGCAGCTTTACTACCAATATGAACATTGTAATTTTTCCTCTCCTTGATAGATTGAAATGACTCAAGAATCCAATTTGGCCAAATTCAAAAGTGAAGTGCAAAGCTCCCAGGTATTGAGTCTATTGACCAGTTCTCTTTCTAGATTGTTGGTTGTAAACTTGTCAAGCTTCTAATCTTTGCACATTTGTAGCAGCTTTTGACCATATTTTTGTATCTGGATAAATCTAGATCTGAATTTGGTCGGGCTGATATTAGCTTGTCTTAGGTTCTGTTGTATTTCGCTGATTGTAGATAATGGTTTGCTTATTGAGGGAACTTATGGGTTTATTAGTTACATGCCTCTGGGTCAGAGTTGTTAAAATGCAGACTACTCTGAATTGAACATTTATTCTGTTGTTCTGTTGACTGCATAAACAATGAATTGCGATTTGAACCAGTAATCTTGTCTAGTCTACATATTACATGTTAAGACTGTAGTGAATGATAATTAATTGGTTTTTCAATCATGTGCTTTTAATATATGAAAGTAAATTATTGGAGAAGTGTAGACATTAGTTTTTTCTATTGCAAAAAATATTTCTTTGGACTCCAACCATCAATTCTAGAAAATTATTTAATTGCCTGAAAGCAAAGAATGATCTGTTTCCTTGAGTCCTATTGTTACTTTGGGATCGGGTTATAACTATGGAACTAACTACCAAGTTCCTTTCTTTTGATTCAGTTTGTGTGAATAGGAGAAATTGGTAAGGAATGGACTTTCTCCCATTAAGATGTCAGTTACTAGACGGTTTTTTAACTGTATTGCTTTGCTGTGGCAAAAGTAAATTCCCATATATTTGATCACTTTCTTGGGCGAAGGCCTGACTCTTTTGTCTAGTGATTTAGCACTGAATGGTACAAATACTTTGCGATTGTCATACTGCCAATTTGATTCAGTTTATCTTACCCAACTTTCACCCCTGTTTTGTGCTTTGGAATAAGATTGAACTTGTTCATCCCAAGGTGAAGAATGCTGGAGAGATACCTGTGTGGCTTTTTTTGGGTAGATGAATCGTTCATAATAATTCAGAAAGTCTTGCAGTCTTAGTTTTTGTTAGCCTTTTTAAAGTTTTTCAACACCTAAATAATCATTAGATATCATAAAAATATGCATTGTACTGTATGGATAACTTTTGGAGTTAAAAATATGTGATGCAGGAACATCATTTTTCTTTGTTGCAACATGAGACTGAAAAACTGCGAAATGATATAGACAAGATGCGCAGTGAACTGAGGTATGATTTTTGGAATCTACATCCAAGCTATTTTTCCTATTGATGTGTCAATATTTCTTTCTTTTTATTTTCTTTATGTTGCAAATTTAACAGTTGCTGTGCAGGTACGAAATTGACAAAGTCACTGCCGGGCAACGGTTGGATTTGAATCTAGAAAGAGGGTATGGAAATTTGATGAATCATTGTGTTCTTTCTCTGCTTCAACTTTATGAATTTACTCTGTTTTTCACAAATGCAGGAGGATACGTGATGAGCTAGCAAACCAGAATACTGAAACCTCTAACCTTACTAACAAACTTGATCGGGTAAATTTAATTAATTAAATGTATTGTTTAGTTTGTTGATCTTTTTTTTTTTTGGCATGAAGGGAATATCCCTTCCGTAATTCCTGGGAATAGAACTCAGGATGTGAAACTCTCCCACAAAAATTGTGGAGCAGATGATGAATGGAGCTAAGATCCAGGTTTAGTTTAGTTGATTTGGTTTAAAGACATTGTCATTTTATTCTGTTGTACATTTTCCAGGAAATTCATGCTTTAAGAGCTCATTTGGAAGCGGCAAAATATGATGTGATAAAGTACTGCATAGGTACTCTTGTTTCAATATCTGCTGTTGGTCTTGCTGTACTCCGCATCTTGATGTGAACAAGTGGGTTTGCAATTTTAGACGTCATAACCCAAAAGAGAACAAGTTTTATCATTCTTTCGTTGGCTGTTGTTTGTTCAAAATATGTGTTTACACATTTGCAATGAACACAAGGGAAAAAATTGTAGACAACAAAAACTGAAATTAAGATGTAATAGATTTACTTATATTTCAAAAAGAAAAAAGATGTAATAGACTTGCTCACTGAACTAGTGATTTGTATCTTCAATGAACACCCTTTTTCTGTCATCTGTGTACGCTGTTGTTTTCGTTTCTTTCTGGTGATTGTAATTTTTACAGGAGAAAGTTGGAAGTATCATCGGCACATTGTGCTAGGTGGGGATTAAAACTTCAAACTTAAGAGGAAAAGTCCTTAGCTACCGGGCTAAATTCTCTGTCCCCCTGTATGTGTAGTTATTTGTTTGTTGGTTTAAATCTTCGTTGAATTGAAAATATGTTGTTAAAAAGAATGGTTGTTTCATGAAATGCTATTGTGCTAATTACTAAGGTAAGGGACATAGTTCCACGCTAAAGGTATGAGACTCTAGTGAGGACTGTATTAAGTAAGTATATGGATTCTTTAGCCTCAACAAGTAGTTTTTACTTACCCCCGAGTGCTTGTTAGTTCCAAAGCTTTACAGTCTTTGAATTTAGCTTTATCAGTAATTTTAGCAAGTAAAATCTGTCAAACTGAGAATCTCGGATTTATTAGATATTCAATTTGATATTTTTTCTGTCACATATATAAATAAGATAAATAACTCTTAAATTATCACATCTAACATGAAATTGAATAATTATTAAAAAGTTATGCTTATAGCTATCGTAATCAGAAATTTATTATAATATTTTAGTTTCAGTAATTAAGTCTTTGATCATAATTCATTATTTAACAAAATGATAATAGATCCTAATTTAGAAATTAAAAAGATAATTTAATCTTGCAAAATATATTTTGAGATTTTTTCATGTTACTGAGGCCCTGCATTTGTATTTTTGCCTTATTGCCTTTATATTTGAAAAGCATTTTCATAATCAAATGATTAAATCTTTAATAAACTAAAAGTGCCTAAAATTATAATTATCTAGTACCAAACCGGCCGGCCTCAAAAGTAGAATAAATTAGCATCATTTTACACGCTTGGATATCACTGCAGCTTCTTGCCGTGTTCTATGAGTGGTAAAGCCGCCGCAGAAGCCTATCGTAACCCAAGTAGCATTTTGGTGGCTGGAGACAGTGGGTTGTTGCCGCGTGTACAGAAAATATAAACCTAATCCAATTGTTTGTCACCTTTTTTATATAATCATATTTCGCTTTATCTCCATTTTAAAAAAATAATAATAATAATTAAGATAACAATGAAGCCAGGCGGCTATGTAATTTCTCTCATCCCAAGCTTTTTCTTTTTGAACTTAATATAATTATTAAAACAAACCCTTATTTTATTCTATAGTTATATGTAAATTTGATATGCAGATGAGAAAATGTACATTACCATAGAGTGAGTTTTTTTTTTTTTTAATATTATAATTACATAATATTATAAAGAGTATACTAATAAGAAGTATATCAGCCTGGGTAGCATTATTGTCAAAATTTTGAAACAAAGAAAGGACAGAAGAATATATAAGTCAGCATGTCTTCTTCACCGCCCGCTCACCTACTTTAGGTTATTATCTTCCAACTTCTGACACTTCTCTTAATTAAATGATCATTTGACAAATAATAATCATGAGACTATGGTGTATCCTTCATTTATCTAAATATTTACTGCGTCAATTTTTTTTTTTTTGCAAGACATTCTTGAAGATTTGGTACATTTATTTATTTATAAAAGTTCGTGATTTTTAAATTAAATTGTAATTTTATGTAAAATTTATTTAATCAAATAAATCTCTAATGAGTGAATGTCAGATTTGCACGGCACCTTAACATGGCATGATTATATCAGCCACCTTTTGCATTACAAAGCGCACCTACCCCTCCGAAAACGACTTGTACAATTCTGAAGCTCACGTAAAAACAGTCTCACTGTTTATCACTTATATTTTATACGTAATTAATATTAACGGGAGATTGTAAAAGAGTTATCAAATATTTATCAAATGCAAATGGTATATTTTGAATTTTAATTTTTATAGTTTTTTTAATAATAATTTGTCACAAACTTTTGGGTCTTTTAATTCATTTATCTTTCTAAATATATAATAATTATTTAATTATTTAAATTTTTAGAAATGTATGAATTTAGTAAATAGTTAAGTGATATTTCAAAGAATAATTATCACTAAATTGAATCGTTATAATTACGGTCGGTTCATTTTAATTTTCTTTTTTTAATAAAATAAAATAAAATTTTTTTTGATAGTATCCATATCAAGTGTTAAAAGAAAATTCTTTTGTTTATTTTCAAATTGATTACAAATGAAAATTTATTCTCAACAAAGTTTATCTCTACAAGATCCACCAAATCATAAACAGCGTCGTATTGCTCCACTGCTATACGTGATTTTTCTTCTTCCACTCAATTTTTACATTTTCTCCTGGGAAACTCACCTTCCACACACGCATTACCACGATTCCCCCACATGAATCCCATTTCTTTCTCCGGTCAATACAAAGGACAGATCAGGCGGGAACTCGGTACGGCCATGAGTCGAGTGGCCTTGGGCGCGGTGAGTCCGAACACATCACTCATGTCGAGTTCGCTCGGTTTCATTCCATCGGGCAACGACCAGCTGAAGCAGTGGAGCAAATGCGCCACTCCCAGCTCCAAAGCGTACAGTCCGAGCTGCATCCCAGGGCATGATCTCCGGCCCGATCCGAACGGGATGAACTCGAAGTTGCTGCCCTTGAAGTCGGGCATGCCCTGGTTCAGGAATCGGGAAGGTTTGAATGAGTCCGGTTCATCCCATGAGGTGGGATCTCTGCCGATAGCCCAGGCGTTGATCATCACGCGCGACTTCTTGGGGATGAGGTAGCCGGCGACGTCGGTGTCCTCGGCGGTCTCGTGGAGGAGAAGAGGAATTGGCGGGTGGAGCCGCAGGGTCTCCTTAATGACACACTTGAGGTAGGTGAGCTTCTCTATGTCTTTTTCCTCCAGGCGCCGATCAAGACCAACGACGTCGGCAAGCTCCTGCTGGACCCGTTTCAGCTCCTCCGGGCAATGCATCAGCTCCGCCAAAGCCCACTCTATGGCTGAAGCCACCGTCTCTGTTCCACCAAACATTACATCCTGCACCAACCAACAGTATTCTTCAGTATATACACACACACGTGTACATATATACTAATTCAGGAAAAAGAAAATTCAAAGTGGAAACAAGAAGAGTAATTTTTGTTATAATTAGTTAATTACCATGATGATGGCCTTGATGTTATCTCGGGTAAATTTGATGACGTTCTGTACATCGTCTGATTGGTTTCCTTTAGGCTCCTCGCTGTAAAACGCAAGCAACTCATCGACCATATCATTGTCAGCGTCATCGGAAGGAAGGTTGTTGACGTTTTTCCTCTTCTGGATATGATCGTCGATGACACTGTCGATAAAACCGTCGAGAGAACGACGAGCATTCACGAGTCGGGTGTTGAGACCCTGCGGGTCGACCCACCCGAGATATGGAATGAAATCAGCGATGTTAAACGCGCCGAAAAGCTTTGAGAACTCCTGCATGATTTTGATGAACTCGTCTTGGCCGTCTTCGGAGCAGGATCCAAACGCTGCCCTGTAAATAATATTACGGGTCAAGGAAAAGATGAGTTCACCGACGTTCACGGTCTTGCCGGTGTTGGCAACCACGGTTCTAACCATCTTATCAACTTCCTCCCGCACTGACGCCCACGACTCCGCCCTCTTGCGGCTGAAAACTTTCATGACGCAAATCTTACGCATCTGTCTCCAGAACGGGCCGTAGTTGGCAAACGCCATATCAGCTCTGTCATAAGTGAGATAGCTTATGGCTATGGTGGCCGGGCGATTGGAGAAGATATTGTCCTGAACTTGGAGCACCTGGCGAGCCACCTCCGGAGAAGAAACCGCCACCATGTTCAAGAACCCCATGCGCAAGCCAAACAGACCACCGTACTGTTTAGCGAGCTTGGCGAGTCCTCGGTGTGTTAACTGGTCCATCATCATCATGTTGCCGATAAGAGGTAATCCTTTGGGTCCCGGTGGGAATGGAAATTTTCGCCGGATACGTGAGATAAGTCCTAAGACTAACAGTAACGGGACGACGAAGAAGAAAGCCATGGCAACTGGTTGCTGCTTTAATGCTCATAATAGAGAATCCATTTTCGTTTCTGTATGTATATTTGTGTGTGTGTGTGTGTGTGTGTATATATATATATATATATATATAGAGAGAGAGAGAGAGAGAGAGAGAGAAGAAGGATCGAAAAGCTTCAGCCTATATCTATGGATGCTTTAGTGGATGAATATAATTTGCTACTCTGCAACTCTTGAATTGTTGCTAGCTATGAAGTTGGGATATACAGGGCTTTTATAGAAAAGTTGGCGACCGTGCTCTCCCTCTTTTTATTATTAATTTAATTTCTTTTTTCCCCCCTCAGATATCTGGAACTACGACGCTGCTTCCTTGTTTTTATATTATGGATAAAATACCTACAAATGAATTATAAAATAGTTAAATCGGTCAAAGAAGCTACGTTGACCAAATGTGGTGAATTAGTAATAATTCAGATTTTTAAGAGGTTGTAATCTAAAAATTAATTATTCCATAATATATTTATGGAGAGTAAAACTAAATTAATTATTAAAATTTCCTAAAATAAATAATCAGATTAATATTTTAATAATAAATTAATTATGTTTATGGAATCTGATAGCTCGTATTTGTCCGTTCCAAGATATTATAATTATTATAAGAGAAGATACCAAATTGTCATTGTATAATTATATAATATATTTATGTACATAAATTAAAGGGCTCTTATACTATATTAAAATTTAAATCCTCAATCCAATGTCAACCGTACTCTACTCTCAACAAATATATAATACGCAGTGACTGTCTTCGATGGATGTTTGTACACTTGCAACCAAGAAACAATTAACATGTGCCACGGTCTACACAATATCTAAATTGCCGAGCCAAGTATTTAATTAGTTAAATATTATTATTTAAATTAATAAGTTTTTGAGGGACATTTTGAATTATATTAATCTTTTTGTGTGTGTGTGTATGTGTAAGAAGTAAACGTATACAACTAAAATTAGATTATAAGAAAATCTATCTAATTAAATTTAAGTATGCGTATAGAATTATTCTAAAGTAGAGAGCGAGATTCAATGTTCTAATAAAATCTACACGTGAGGTTCGAGGGCATCTTTGTGAGGCTAAAATAAATTAGAACAAGAAAAAGATTAGAAAATAATATTCGATAAAGTAATAAATAAATGGGTGTGTCGCATAAAATTATTTAAAAGATCACAACATGAAAGGTGAAGATCTTGATAGGGGACCTTAAATTTCTCAATCTTGGTTAGACATTAAAACCACCGAAGGTCTCACCTCACCTCATCTCATCTTTCGAGCAATCTTTATTTTCGCCTCGTTAATTATTTATAGTCTATTTTTCAAATATATTATTGATTTTATTAATTGTTATCCAATAAAATAGGGTATAGATTTGAAATTGCGTGTTCAAGCATCATGATGACCTCATGTATATGTTTATTATATGCATATATGATTATTTATTTTTTTAATTAATTTATAATAAACATACAAAAATAATGAATTTATCGTAATTCTACTGTTACAATTGTAAGTTATATTTTCGATCATATTGGATCGATCAAACATTATAAATTAATCACTATCAATTTATAATATATTTATAATATAATAAATTTTATAACTTTAATAAATTTTGAATTTGTGATGTTTAAGTAAGATATAAAAATTTTAAACACGATACATCAATTTATTTAAATAGATATATATATGTATATGATTATTTTGTATTTATCATTATGAATCCATTACTTTGGTGCAAGATCACCTTATATTGAAAGCTTGTGGGAAGTGATATTTACCCACTAACTAGTTTTCTTGTTTTAGATTAATTGAAAGTATTATTATCAATCTGAAAGCTACTTCGGCAACACATTTTACGTACACACTAATATGTGTGTGTGTAGAGTTGAGGAGAGAATGAAAATGGCATGCATTAATGTTGAAATGGACGTGTTTTCGAGTATCTACTTGACTAATACATGATTAATGGGAACTACCTCTATAAGTTTATTACTGCTTATATTGATAATATAATTAATATTTTAAATATAATTAAAATGGACTTTACTATTTCAAAAACTACATTTTTTTTTATCATTATAAATATTATTTCAATATATAAAATATATTTTAAGTTATTCTTTGCTTTTTTTTTTCTCAAAAAAAAAAAAAAATTGTTTATCATGTTAAGTGATGAATTTTATGTCCAATCAAATTAAATTATTTTACATATTAATTATAGTGTAATTGTTTTAAATATGTATATATATATACAAACACACACATATTAAATTATTTTATGATATATACATTCATAAAAATCTAGATATTTTTTTTCTGATAGGGTTGAAACGGTGGACACCAGGACTAGTAATTAAAGCGACTCATTTAATGATATTTATCGGTCGACATCTCCAACGACAACTTGTTTTTTAATGAAATTTTTTTTATAGAAATAGTGAGAGAATTTTACAGATTAAATCTATATATACAATATATATATATAAGTAAAATAAAAAAATTGACACATTATAATTTCTTATTTTTAAAATTTATTTTATATCAATACGATATATATATATATAATAATATAGATTATATTTATGTTTTTATTAATGTGATATCTATTTAAATATTTTAAATATAAAAATAAAATATGAGTATGATAATATTACTATTTTATAAAAATAAATATTATAAACAATTTTATAATACCTTATAAAGTAATAAAATTTACATAAAACTAGGTTAAAACTCGTTGAACTTACAACCAAATCACAATCATATACTCCTATACTTTTTTATAGAGCAAATTCTTTTGTGATGGACTACAGAAGTAGGTGGCTCTTGTATGTACATATACATATACATATATATATATACATACACACTTTGTTTTTCCTTTTTTGCCTGACAAAATGGGTCTTGTTTGTACCTTTTTTTTTTTTGGTTTCCATTAAAGATCTTTTTTGTACTTTCAATATGTTACATTTAAGTCAATATTTAAATAGTATATGCTAAAAATGAACAAGAAAATCAAACATGGAAGACTCTCTTAGTCTTAAGATAATGGCCACTATACCTTCAAACGATGCTCTTAATTTAATATCGCTATGATTTTGACACTTAATTTTTTATTTGTTATTTTTTGCCTAGCTATACGAAATTTGTAATTTTTGTAAGATTCATTTATAAAACTTATACGAAATTCAACAATGAGAATTTATTATTTGAAATCAAATTTCTTGAATTATAATATGATTTAATATATATGTATCTTTCAAGTAAATGCACATATATATACATATATATAATTAATTAATTAATTACTTGCATTAATTTTTGGTTTACTTACAAGCTATCTTCATAATTATTATATAGATGAACAACGTGGCCGTTCTCTCAATAAAGACGTGGAATCTTTATGGCCTTAATTGACTGCTGGATTTCAAACTATGTAATTAATTACCATGACATTTATAACATTTTTCATTTATCTTTTAAATTGAAAAAATAATATTTATATAAACAAACATTACCCCAGTTGAGAATCAACTATATCTTATTTGTTTTGAATGTCTAAACTTATTTTTTAATAATATTTTAGTAATAGAATTTTAAATTCATTAGAACAAAAATTGGTACGAGCAAAACGACACCGGATCAAGAGTCTCGCTTTTGGAACAGCATGCTACGTGCACCCGAGTCACTGACACGGACAGGAAAGTGCCAAATCCGCATGGGTTCAGAAACCTCCAAGAGAAATCGTAGACAATTTGGACGGTTGTGATTAACGCTTTGCTACACCGGTCAATAGTCAAAAGGAACATGCTAGAGCCGGATTATAATAACCCCACCAACCATTCCATTAAAAAAAGTGTTGACCGCAATTTATTTATTTGTTTATTTTTATTTCTTTATATAATTATTGATTTGATTATAATTGTACGTTTTATGTTTTAAGTGTTAAAAAATTATTTTTATTAGTTTTTATATAAATATTAAATCTATTATTATTTATTCAATTATAAAAATATATAAATTTTCTTTTAAAAATTTATAAACAATATAACAAGCAATAATGGCCGGAAAGTTTGAAAGTTAAAAAGAAACGTAGTGCAACTGGGTCAATAGGAGTGCCGTCAAATGCAGGGAAAATATTTTGTTAATTATAAAATATGAAATTATCAATTGAATAAATGCTCGCAATATTGAAATTTTAAAGGGCTTATCTTATGTAATAATAATTGATTAATCATATAAATTTAATGCACATTGTGGGAAAAAAAAAAAAAAACAGTTGAATTAATGGTCATTAAAAATTTATCTTAATCACTTTTTGGGATTAATTATTAGCCTTTAAATTTCTGTTAATTACATAATTATTACGTGTATATATACATATATATGTATTATACTTATACATAAATACAACTTTAATATCTATTATCATTAATTAAAAAAAAAATGTTTGAGCATAATAATACACAAGAGCAAATGAACTGAAAATGAGATAGACATAATATAACAATAATCTTTCCCGAACTACTTCCACATGGACTTACTAGATTAATATAATTATTAATATATAGTAGCAAAACTACCAATCTATAATTAATTTCACAATCATTATTTTTTAATGATTGTTTAATTACTCGTAATGAGAATTATTATTATGCACCATTCCCACATTCTAATAATGTTTGTTTATATTGTTGAGATTAGTGGTTCATATGTATATATATATTTACAATGAATTATAAATTAAAGATGGATGTGCTATTATGTTTATTTTTATTTATTGATTATTTGTGTTGTCAAGTTAGATATACTATTGTATTTACCTTTATTTTACACGTTATTTATATTATGTTATAATTAGTATATATATTATTTAATTATTAAATATATGTATTTTTTAATTAAAACTAACTTAATAAGGTTAGCTTAAAAAACCAGTAGCTATGTATATTGTTAGATTGCATTATATTGGACAATGATGTAATGAATCATACATACGCATATATATATATATATCACGAATCCAACTTGATAGTCAACAGAATCTATATTTCTATATGGCTCTGAGGTGTATATAATTAATACATTATTCGTTGTGTTGCTTCTTGGAAAGTATATACAAATTATTAAACGATAAAAAAGTTATAAAGCATATATTCTTATAATATTAAATTTAACATACGGGGGTCCATTATTGCATGAAAAAGTTCGCTTATATTCCAAATGGGGATGCTGACATGGCGGCGTACTATTGGAGATTTACATTTCAAGACTTAACACTACGCATGCTCAGCTCAAATAGTCAATATTGTTGACTACGACAAACCCAATTTCTTTTTTTCTTTTTTTTAAATGTTGGTCAAGTATGCTTGATGACTATAGGCAAGTGATCCAACAGTTACTACCAACATAATCGCAATTAGTGGAGTAAATCAACCCATAAGATTCATGGTTTTTATTTTAATTTTACAAACAATGACAACAATGTATTTTAAAAAATTATTAAACTAGTATATGAAATTCAGCATTTGATACATTTAATCCATAATTTTTTTTTAATTAAAATTTAATTTATCATGTATTATGTTTGTTTTTAAAATACTTATTTTTCATTTTTAATAAAAATTAGTAAAAGTATTAGAGCTTTAAAAACCTGATTTAAACGAATATTTTATATTTATGTACTACTATATTTAGTTTGCTTAGACTGATTCATTGGTTGGTGGAGGTTGGATTTAGTAGGAGCCAATCAGGGCCGCCGCCGTCCCTCCAACCTCAAATCAGAACAAGAGAATACAGGTCATATTCCCACAGCACGTGGCCTTTAATTTCGTCTCAAAACGACTAAGCAAACTGAATAAAATGCCATACACAGATTTACCCACACCTAGACAAATAATTTATAATTTATTTGATTAGAATAATAACTTAGTACGTAAATTAACCGTTTGATTAAGCTCAATTTCTATTAAATAATCATTACGGCCATGTTCTTAGACTGAATAATATTTTTGATTCTTTCAAATATTTAAATTCAATTGATCATTAATTTCCAATTAATATGCTTCCAAGTTGAAAATCTTACATATAGACATATTATATGTAATAACTAGAAAAAAAAAGGGAGAGAAGATCCTGGCGTGTATGTATATATGGGTATATGGAGAGGGTTGGAGTGAAACGGTGCCGTTTGGAGAAGAGGATGGGGAAACAGCGTCATTTGGAGAAGATGAGGAGGAAACGACGTCGTTTGGAGGAGAGGGAGTGAACGGTTGGGATGAGGCGGGATGGACGGACATGATGGGATAAAGGAGGGGTATAAATAGGAGACAGGAGGAAAGAAAAAAAAAAGAGAAAAAAGGAGGGAAAGGAAAGAAAGAGAAAGAAAAAGAAAGAGAAAACATAGAAGGGAGAAAACAGGGAGGAAAAAGAAAAAGAAAAGAGAAAGTAGAGAAGAGAAAGAGCGGGGAGGGAAAAGAAGGTTCGAGAAAGAGAGAGAGAGGAGCTGAAGTGGAGAGGAACGAGAAGGGAGAGAGAATAAGAAAGAGGACGGTGACGTTGTGATCAGCGGGAGGAATGAAGATGGAAATGAGAGGTACGGTAATTTTAAGTTTCCTTTTAATTGATGTGCATTTGAAAACTTGATGTAGTGGAGAGTTGGTGTGAGTGTGA